GCTTCCTTCTTTCACCTTCCCAGCTGTCTCCTCAGAGCAAACTTCCGTGACTCTTATTGTTCTGCTTGTTTTCATTCTCCTTTTTGGGTAAACGTATTTTTTTTTCTTTTAAGTGTGGTTTCCTAAAACTCTGCAAAACGCTCTTTCCCTGCTGTAATTTGAAATATTATCTGCAAAAGAGAGGGTAAGGAGCCCTAATTCAGGTGCACGTTTCCCTTTATCTGTTTTTCTTTTAAAAAGTGACTAAAGCCACTGATAAATAATGCTAATTTTTGCTGCCATCTGTGAATGCAGGACCAAGCTGTTTCAGAGCAGAATTTTTAGTGCTTTATCTATTCAGGGGGGGGRAGGAAAAAGGCTCTTTGCTTTAACAGCAATAACCTATCTCCCACAAGTTGTAGTCTGTGCTCCCATCTACCACTAAAACCCAAAGCAAACAAAGATTCGTGCAGAGACAGGAAACCTTTTGGGTGTAATTGCCGGGAGGTCTTTGCTTTCACGATTTTTGGGTTCACCCAGAAAGGCAGCCGAGCAGGGCTGTGGTTCAGATTTATGATCAGATCTCACTGGGCTCGAWTTTGACCTTTTTGGCAGCTCTGTGAGTTGCAGACACCCTGTGCAAGAGTGTCCTGGCCACACTGAGTAAAAATGTCCCGTGGAGGGAGGGAGGGAGGGAGGCACAGCTGAGCTACGCCCTGAGACAGCTCAGCCTCCAGGCTCCTTTATTTTGGCCTCGAGCCTTAGTTTACATAATCCTGCCCTGATCCTTCCTCTTGTGCATGGATCAGGTTTAGAAGACCCTCCAGTCTGGCCAGATCAAACTGGGAAGCAGCTCTCTCCCATCACCTGAGCCAAAAAATGCTGGTGGTGGTAGAGTCTGGTGGCTTTGGCTGTATCAGAACACCTTTCCAGTACCAGGACTTGATTTTGGAATCATTTGGAGGTTGGAAAAAAGAAATTAAGCCTTGAAGATGGTCTGGAAAATTATGGAATAGGTCTGGCTCCTGGAGCCTGTGCATTGAATAGGTGCAGCCCTACGTGGGGGAGATCTCACCTGCAGAGTCCTCGTGGCTTTTTCTCATGTGTTTATCTCTGGGTTGTGTGAATTATTTCCCAAATCAGAATTGGGCTGTGATTTAAAATCAAGTTCCAAACCAGAATTAGGCTGTGATTTAGGATCAATTTCCAAACCAGAATTGGGCTGTGATTTAGGATCAATTTCCCAAACCAGAATTGGGCTGTGATTTAGGATCAATTTCCCAAACCAGAATTAGGCTGTGATTTAGGATCAATTTCCCAAACCAGAATTGGGCTGTGATTTAGAATCAATTTCCAAACCAGAATTAGGCTGTGATTTAGGACCAATTTCCCAAACCAGAATTGGGCTGTGATTTAGGACCAATTTCCCAAACCAGAATTGGGCTGTGATTTAGGCTCAGGTCTTTAGGAGAGCTTGTCACAGCGATGTGTAATAGCATAATAAAACCCTAACTGCTTCACTTTAATGTGTCAAATGACTCATTTACAGTGTCATCTGGGAGAGATGAGGCTCTATGAGATAAGTAAGGCTTGCATGGGGAGGGAATATTGAGTAATGGGCCCACAGCTATAATTGGAGGGGGAATAGATCTTCCATTTCAGATCTGAGGAAGTGGTTTTTCTGCCCAGTCTGTAAATGAATGATTCTTCTCTCAACTTCCTCCACATATTCCCCACTTCCTCTGTGTAATATTCCTGTTATTTATAACTGCTGCATTGAATCCCAGAGGCAGATGCAGCCTGCATTTCTGTATTGTATAGAAGGTGAGGTCCAACAGGTTGATGTGTAGTTCTGACCTTCTGGGAGCAAAGAATTGATATGGAAGCAGGGAAAACACTTATGTCCCTATARCTAACCCCATTTTCTTTATATTCATCACATCTGAATATGGAACAGCCCTGTCCATCTCCCCCCATCCCACAGCAAGCCAGGGAAGCGGCAGACAGACATACAAAGGATTATTATATTTGATCAGGCTTGGAAATGGGCTGAAGATAAAGCCCTTGGTGTTTACTGGACCATTAAACATTTATTATCATCTCTCCAGTGCGCTGCTAGTGCTGTAAATAACAGCTGGTGGCGAAAGAGTGGGGTCAGCAATTGCCTTTTGCACCSATGTTCGTAAATGGAGAAGCAGGTCCTGTGATTTTTAAGAGCTTGGTTGTGGGGGAAACATCAGAGAGAAGGGGCAGAGGAGCTGGCAGTCCAGAGCTCCTCTTTATCACGAGGAAAYGCTGAAATCTTAGGAAGTGGGAGAATTTAAACAACAATGACAAAAAGATTARGGCCAGAGTTAGGAGTTAATTTATCCCTGCCCTTCCTAACAAAAATACTTAATGCCCTGGGATCAGCACAGCTTTTGGATCTGGATTTAATTAGGTGGAAGGAGGGTTCAAGCCTCTCTCCCCCAGCTCAGCCACRCTCCACGAGGCATTTCCATCATCAGACTTTGATTTCCCTTTCCCCCCCTTCCCAAGTTTTTGGAGGGAGAGGAGAAGCATTGCCCTGGGGCTGGAGCTGGGCTCAYGGGGTCTGAGCTGCAGCACCTGGTCTGGTGATGGGGCTTTTGAAAAGGGGAATATGAAGGGATTATTCGTTTGCTGGGAGGCCATAGCCTGGTGATTCCTACCCCAGGCAATCCCTCTGAAGTCAATGAGATTGGAAAGCGTGTAAATCAGTATGGAATTTGGCGTTTTCCTGGAAAAGTGTGGGGGGATATTTGTTTAACTTGCATATAAATGACTTCTAATAAGGCTCCATAGACACGGCTGATCCTTCTCATTGCGTTGTTGCTCCTTCCAGTCCCASAGTCGCTCTCGCCATCCTCTCATTTTTAAATAATTTTGCACAAAAAAAAAGCCTTCCACGTGGGAATTCTCTGTGGTTTGTGCTAGGCTGTGAAGCATTGCTGGGAATGATTCAGGGGGAGCAACTCCTCGTGTGCTCGGGACCTGCGGTGTGAACAGAGAAAGAGGATGGACTCATTTTCACACTCTCATTTTGTGTCTCTGCCGTGTTCCTGTTCCACCATTGGGATGTCATCATGCTGAGGATAATTAGAGGGAGCCTTGTTTCTCTGCAGAGCCGGGTTGGGAATGCACATGGCTGGGAGCAGCTGGGGTGGTTTGTTGGGGAATGAGAAGAGGTGGAGTGGGTGTCCAGGGAGCATTGCTGTGCCATGAGGGAGAAGATGCTCTGCTGCTTCTTCCCTGTGCCTGCAGAATGGATCTCCTTTCTTCARCTTAAATCCATAGAAACACAGAATGGTTTGGGTTGGAAGGGACCTTCAAGGCCGTTTAGTTCCAAGGCAGGTTGCTCCAATCCCATTCCAACCTGGCTTTGGACTAAGGCTTGTGTGCTAACGGCTTGGGTTATTCCCCAATACCTGAGCTGGGATCTTCAGGCATCTCCTCAACCATCTTCATGTCTTCTTCAGGCTGGTGTTCCTCCAGCTGTGCTTGGAATACTTGGATGAAGTTATTCTATATGGGGCTACATCAATGGCTGGGTCAATCTCAGCTCAGTGGGACAATCCCAGGATGCTGAATATGGGGTTGTTGGTTTTATCACTGGTAGTCTCTACCACCCATACCCAGATGTTTAAGAGATTCCTGGGAGCTGCTCTTGGACCTCTCAGACATGGGTTCTTCTGTGGGTGGGTGGTTTGGGTGCTCGCTCTGTGTGAGGCTTTAAAGCTCTAATAAAGCATTAGAACAAAGAGCATCAACTTTTCTCTTGCTCCTTTGAGGAGGACATCTAATTTTGCCAGATGTTCCCACAGCACAGGTGGTTTCAGCTATTTTAGACTCCCCTTACCTGACTAAAATGCATCTTGCCTCCTCATGCATTGCAAAGCACGTGGAAAATGTGGCCGACTTGAGTTGAAAATGAGATCTAAAACTGGAGGAGTCCTWCAGAAAGTAACTGAGGAGCCAAATATATGCAACTGAGTGAGGAGAGAACCAGGTCCCGTGAAGCTGGTTGCCAAGGGGATAATTCACTTGTCTCTCCCCCAGCCTGATGGAATATTGTTTTCCTCTCCTCCTTGCCAGCATACCCAYAGCTCCAGAGGAGCCACTCTCACTCCTGTASATGCTCTAGCTGATACATGCCTAATTCCACCTCGGGGCTGTTTTCATGAGCAGAGGAGCCTTTGAAGGCACCTTCTGCTGTTCCAGGCCTCCAGAAGGGTTTGTGCTGTCCAGGTGTTTGTCCTCTTTTCCCACTGATGCTGGCACCTGCCCACAAACCTTCCCTTTTCCCCAAAAAGTAAGGGTGTTTTTAAGGCAACAGTCTGGATTTGGATGTAAAATCTGGCACAAATGGGATCTTTCCACCTTCAAGCAAAGTGATTCATATTCTTTGTTGTCCTCTCTGCAGAACAGAACAATTTAAGACTAATTTTGTTGTTGTTCATTAATTCTTGGTGTATTAACAGGCCGTGTAAAATTGGGTTATTCCCCCAAAAAATAAGGGCGTTTTTAAGGCAACACTCTGGATTTGGATGTAAAATCTGGCACAAATGAGATCTTTCCAGCTTCAGGCCAAGTGATGCATGTTCCTTGTTGTCCTCTCTGCAGAACAGAACAATTTAAGACTAATTTTGTTGTTGTTCATTAATTCCTGGTGTATTAACAGACTGTCTAAACTTGGGTTATTCCCCAAAACCCGARCTGTGGTCTTCAGATGCCTTCTCAACMATCTTCATGCCTWCTTCAGGCTGGTGTTCCTCCAACTGTGCTTGGAATACTTGGATAAATTTATTCTTTGTGGGAATTACATTAGTGGTTGGGACAATCCCAGTTTAATGGGACAATCCCAGTTTATTGGGACAATCCCAGTTTAATGGGACAATCCCATTCATCCACAATAAAACCCAAGCAGTTGAGGCAGCAAAGACTGACATGGCTGATCCACATGGAATAACACAAGACATTCATGGAGTGTTCCTCTCTTCCAGGGCGCATCGAGAATAATCATCAGCCTTAACAAGGATTGATTGTGTGTGTGTTCCTCGTCCTTCTGGTTTGGTATTAATTGGAAAAGCTTTGGCTGTCACGTTGGGGAGGTGAAGAGGTGAATGAACGTCCCTTTCAAGGTACAGTAGAGACATGGATGTGRTGTTTGGGGTGTGGAGCTGGTGCTGGGGTGGCCTTTGTGGGTTCAGGGTGTTCAGCTTCCTCCTGGATTCACATCCCTGGAGAAATCTGTGCTCCATCATTCAATCCTAATGAGCACAGTCTTCTTAAATCAGGGGGTGTTGGCTTTGTTTTGGTGCAAACTTGGATAAATCTTGAGTTTTTTCTTCATTTACTTGAAAGAATCTTTCCTTTTTGAAACTTTTGGGTTGTGTTGTGARGTGTATAGAGTTTGAGYATCAWTATTTGCACTGTTTTGGTGTATAGAGTTTGAGYATCAATATTTGCACTGTTTTGGAGAGAACTTCTCTTACGTTTCTTTTTTTTTTGTCTAGACAAATCAGTATTAGACTAAAATTAGGATTAGACTGAAATATACCCTTACCTTGGTGCAGATGGGCACGGAATTCTTGCATGAGTGATTTTTTAAGGAGGGGAAGAGAAAAGCTTGGAGTCTTTTTGAGGAAAGGAAGGTGATGGAGTAAGAAGGAAAGTTACAGAGTAAGAAGGAGCATTACTGAGGATGTTGGTGAATTAAAAACCCAGCATCCATCAGGGAGCTTGTGGGAARTTTCTCTGGTTGAAGTTCTTCCCGTGGTCTGACCTGTGGAAAAGATTGAGGAATGCTTTTAAAAATTAAAAAATAAAAACCCTACTGTGAGATTTCTCGTTGGGTGTTTCGAAGGACTCGTTCCAACCCAAGTGGGTTCAGTGCTGGGATGGTGCTGCTGGAGCAGCAAAGGGAGATGTGCGTGTGAAACCTGGGGATTTGTATAAACAGGGTTTTTTTCCTAAAGCATTTCTTGTTGCTGTGGCTTTCACAGGTTCACCCTGTCTGGAGAAGTAGTTTGTATTTGTGGTTTGATATTTCCTTAAAGCTTCCACACAGGGTCCTGCTGACACTGCCTGCTTCACAAACGGGACCAATTTATGGTTTTGTATAAAAATTCTTTGAACTCATTGCAAATCTGGTGTGGTGCCTCAGTGCCAAGCTGAAGCCAGTTCTAACTTTTAGGGTTGGCTAAATCCTTCCCTTGGAATCTGTGTGATACTTAGCAATGAGTTTCAGATCTGTTTGTGTGTGTTCCTCTCTGCGCTTCACTGAATTTCATGTTGTGTTTTGCTATGTGTATTTTTAAGTCTGGTTTTTTGGGGTTTTATTGCTCATTTTTTATTTGGGGAAAACTCGCTATGAGGTCAACATCTGAATGAATTCCAATAATTAGGATTGTCCTTTGCAGGGTCAGGAGTTGGATGATTCTTGTGAGTCCCTTCCAGCTCAGGGTATTCTATGATTATAACTTACTGAAAAGTGACCGACTGTCCTGGGAGAAAGATTTTCTCTTTGGTGCAAGCTTTCTCCATGTCTGATCCCATTAAGAATTAAGTTCAGTGAGACTGAAGTCTCAGAAAGGAACTCATGTTTGATGTTCAGCGTGAACATTAATAACCTAAACTCCATTTATTTTTCAGTTTTTGCTTGTGTAAGAAAAGGATTTTTTTAGAGAAGCAAGAGCAAGAGCTTTTTTTAGAGATACAAGGGCTTCTGAGCTGTTTGGGGTTGGAATTCAGWGGGCAGCTGGAATCCTGGGATTGGCAATATGTGCCTGAACCCACATGAACAGTGGCCATGGGATGATCACCGTGGCCAGTGCTGTGTCTGGCCAGGTGAAATGGTCCCAGCAGAATTGTCTCTGTGTGAGTGGTCTGTTCTGCATGATGAAGGCAAATGTGACTCTGTTAGCTGGAGTGAAATAGTCCCTCAGCACCTTCCTGTTGTAGCAAAATCAGATTAAAATTTGGATTAAAACAGCAGCTTCTTCAGCAAAGCCATTTTGGAATGAGACAGCAAAGTCCACAGCAGAGGTCTTGGGGCTTGTTCAGCTGCCTTAGGTAGTGTGGGATTCTAGGTGGGATTCAGAGCTGAAATGTTGGAGATGTTATCATACAGCAGCCTCTTGACCCCTGTGGGCTACTGGAAAGATATTTTGGGCTGGGYGTTTTTTCTCTCTCTAAAACAGGGGTTATGAAACAGCTGATGGGAGCTGGAAGGGCTTGCACTCCCTTTTCTGCTTGTGTTTCATTATCCATCACTTCCTGATCGGTGTCACAGGGCCAGAGCATTCAGATCCGGATTATGTGGGGGAAAACTGATGCGTGAAGCTCATACAAAGCTGCCCACTCAGATGTATCTCTAGATTTCTGGGCTTTGTTTGCACRGGTCACATTCTCTTGTCACAAGTTGCTGTCCTCTTTTTGTCAGCCGTTTCAGCAGTGTCACACATTTATTTCAGCTCAGATGTAGTAGCAGTAGTCCTGGCAGAGCAGGGAGTTTGTGTGAGTCTGTGTTTGCAGAGCACAGGTGAGAAGGATTCAAAGCATGGATTTGAAATGTTGATTATATCCTGGAAGGTTCCAACCTGTGCAGGTGAAAAGCTTGGGATCCCAGACATCATTGTGCTCCCAGGTGTGGTGGCACCTCTGAGCAGAGGTCACGGTGGTGTCGAATCAAAACTGGTTGAAAATGCAGCACTGAAGGCAGGGAAGGAGGGTGGGAGGTGGGAACAGCCCCACTGCTAAACACCTGCCATTGTCCCAGAGGGTACAAGTGGGAATTGTAGAATATTTGGGCTGGAAGGGACCTTTAGGGGTCATCTCATTCCAACCCCCTGCCATGAGCAGGGACATGGAATAATAGACAATTTTGGATTGGAAGGGACCTTCAAGACCATCCCATTCCACCCCTCTGCCATGGCAGGGACACCTTCCCCTGTCCCAGGATGCTCCAAACCCCATCCAGCCTGGCTTTGGACACTTCCAGGGATCCAGGGGCAGCCACAGCTTCTCTGGGCACCCTGTGCCAGGGCCTYCCCACCCTCATAGTTGAGAAATTCCTTCTAAAATTTGCTTTCACCTGTTTTTTTTTTCCACTATAATTATTTCCATGATTCCAACAGGTTTACAGGAAGGGTAGGGGGAAGCATCCCTGATGCCATGCAAAACCTGAGATGGAAACATGGGCAGGATCATCTTTCCCAAGTCCTTAGACCACCAGACCTGCTTTAAGCTTGCAGAAACAGTTTTGTTTAGAGAAATCAAGGGCATTGCTCAAAAATGCTGGGATTTCTTGATTAATTCAGCTTTCAAAATCCGCAGAGAAGGCACCTTTGCTCCCAGCAGCGGGTCGGAAGCTGGGTTTTTTGGGATTGCTGCCAAGAAACATTTCTTGGAAACCCTTCCGTGCACAGTGCAAGCAGCAGGACAGGAGGTCTGGATTTGAACTCTGGATGATAAAACCAGGGAGGTTTTGGCAGGGYTCTGTTCAGATGCCTCATTCTTGGCTTTTTTCCTTGGGGTGCAGGGGTGGTTCAGAAACTTCCAGCTGATTTTGTAGCATAGCTGAATTTTCCACTGAATAAGGAAGTTTCTGGAGAGTGAAACTGCTCTGTAATTTTTTGGATGGAATTCTCCAACCCATTGACTGCWCCCAGTCCATATTTTTGAATGGAATTGGTGCTGAACCTGCCCTGCAGGGGCAAGAATCTTCATAGAATCAGGGAATAATGGTTTGGRTTGGAAGGGACATTGGAGACCATGTGCTTCCAACACWGGGACATCCTCCACTAGATCAGGTTGCTTCATGCCCCATCCACCCTGAGGATTCCCTGAAACCATTCCCTGATCCTATAATTCTTCAAAAATGGATGGAGCTATAGCCTGGAGTGTCAATTACCCCTTAACCCAGGTCAAACTTTCCCCTTTGTTTTCCCTTTTTTTTTCCATACAGGTTCCCCACTAATTTCTCTGAATCCCTTCTTTCTGATTTTTTTTTTTTTTTTAATCCCTGTGAGAGCAATTTGTCAGAAAAACCTTGTGGGAAGCAGGGAGCTGAACCTGGTGGAGCCAAGCTGAGCTTGAACACTCCCTTTATATGAGCTCATATCAGCAGCAGGAACAGAAATCTCTTTATCAGTGGCTGCACAGGATAAGAAGGAGAATTTCCCAAAGGATGGGCTTCTTCCCTAAGTTTCATTCTCCRAGGAGGCCCTGAGAAAAGCAGATCCACTGGGAAGTTGGTAGCTCCAGACAAGTAGGTGCATGCACCAATGTGCATTCTCACCTGTAGGTACACAGAGAGCTTTCCCAAATTGCCCAGAACCTGAGAAAATGGAGATAAAATCAGAAAGGCAATTGCAGTTAATTACGCTTTCAAGGCAACTGGAGATTGGTTGGAATCCTGTGGGATTTCTGAGCCTCCCAGTGCAATTTTGGGCGGAGTGTGGGCAGGAAGGTTTGGTTGTTGTGGTCGGAGATGTCTCTGTTGTGACAGTCACTCCTGGCTGTTACATGGCACAGATGTCACCACCAAATCATGGTYGCTGTCTCACGGCAAATTCTTCATAGAAGTCTTGAGTTTAGATTAAAAAACAAAACAAAACAACAACAACCAAAAAAAAAAAAACCCCAAAAAAAACCAAAACCATTTTGGGCATGATTGAACTTTGTTGTTCCTATTCCACCCACGTACTTCCCCTTTTCTTCCCATCCTCACCAAAACCTGGCCTGCATTTTGTGTTTTGGGTGCTGGGAAAAAGCCACATTCAAGAAGTCTTGGTTATCCCTTGTTTATAAAGGAATTGAGATGTGACCAGAAAATTGCCAGAGGTTGGTCGTTCAGGGGGTTGCAGGTTGCAGGGATGGAGTAACAGGTGTAGAAATCCATCATGACAGTTAAATGTAGTATTTTCTGTGATGTAGGCTTGGGAAGTTAAAAGAAGAGCCTGACTTTTAACTCCAGAAGAACCAAAATCTTGAGAGATTCAACAGTGGGACCTCATAAAATGCGCAAAGCTGCACACGACAGTATTTCTTGCTGTGCCCTTCTGTTCTCGTGGAAATTTAGGTCAAAAAGTGCTCCACTAACTTCTGAATTTTGCTTGACCCAGCCTTCAGGTCTCCA